TGTTTTATTTTGTGTGTGCTTACTATAAATCTTAGTGTTTTCTAGGTAGAGTATCAGATTTTGTTTTCAACAGTGTATGGAGGGTATGTTTTGTGCCTAGAACAAAATAAGAAACTAAGTGAATATTTGAAAAAATAAATACATCTGGCTAAAACTATCATATAACTAATGGAGATATGAGACCAAGGGAGATGAAATATTTTATTAAAGGTCGCTCACCTAGTTAGTGGAAAAAGGCACAAAAGTCCAATATCCTGTCTCCTAGATAAAGATTTTGTTTACCACTTTCAACTTGTAAGACTGATTCCAGAATATTCTCTCCTTACCTGGATCAGTACTAGCTCTCTGAAGTAGATAACTTTTCTTTCTCTCTCCCTCTAGTTTGGGATACAGATAGGTTGTTTTAAATAATCACACCTGAGGGTCAGCTAACACTCTATCCTTAACAAGTTTTCACTCTGTCCTTAAGAAGAATTCACCCTTGAATATATATGGATTTTTTGAGCTGGTTTATTTTTCTACTTTTTTTTTTTTCTGTCTCTGATCTATAAAGGACCATATGAGTCTTCCCATCTTGTTTTGTAAGTTCAGCATCTCCCAATCTCTAGCAACTAAAATGGATCATGCCCCAGACTGAACTCTTTTCAGGACTGCCTTCATGGGAGTTGGATTTGTGATAGCCATGGGGTCCGGTGCTTGGTTTAATGTTCTACTGTTGCTGTCTTGAAATTCTTAATAAAATTTCATTTTGAAATTATGTTGGCAGTCCTGCTTTTTATTTTCCTTTTGCCAACCAGTACAAATTTGTTCTTCTTTCCATCTTCTCTATTTTTGAAGGACACCACCAATATCTGCCTCTTTAGGTAATGTTGGATACAATGATTTATCTTCAACTTTACTTCTTCTTGACTACCTCTGCATCCAATTGTTGGCAAAATCCCAACAATTCTAAGCTTACGAAGTGTCTCACAATGAATCCTTATTTTCTTTTTCCACCACATTAGTAGAAAAAGGGGGCACCTGGGTGGTTCAGTCAGTTTATTGTCTGCCTTCAGCTCAGGTCATGATCCCAGGGTCCTGGAATCTAGCTCTGCTTCGGGCTCCCTGCTCAGTGGGGAGTCTGCTTCTCCCTCTGCCCCTCACCCCCCTTGTGTTGTCTCTCTCTCTCTCTCTTTCACTTTCTCTCATTCTCTCTGTCTCTCTCTCAAATAAATAAATAAAATCTTAAAAAAGAAAAAGGAAAAGAACCTACTTTAACAAAACTCAGTCTTGATTGGAAATCAGGTCTCTGCTACTTATTGGTTATACATCTTTCAGCAAGTCAATTTCTTGAATTTCTATTTTCTCATCTATAAAATAGGAAAAATAAAACTCACTGTACATATTTAAGAACTAGAAATATAATCTGGTAAGTACTTAATACAATGGCTCTTTTTAATTTAGAGAGGGTCCCATAGGACTCTAAATTTTAATTCCCTTCTAACTTCTAACAACTCTTTATCTTGAGATCCGTTATTGGTGTATATTTCTGAGAAATATATTTTATCTACAAATCATCATTCAACACTTACTGAGTATTCACTCATTCATATGAACATCTTTAAATGCTCCTCCAAAAAACAAAAACAAAAAAGTACCCCTAAATTTATTGATAACGCTATCAAGAAATGAAGTGTACATCTCCTACTTTTGAATCTGGACAGGTATGGAACAGCTTCAACCAATAGAGTGGAAATGACATCATATGATTTATGACGCTGGATCATAAAAGGGCATGCTGCTTCCAACTTGTTTGCTGGAAGTCTGAGTTCTGGAGTCCTAAGGCACCCTGTAAAAAGTCCAACAACCCAGGAGCCAGCAGACTGTGAGGAAGCCAAGCCACAGGGAGATGCCACACACAGACACTCAGGCACAGCCCTGTTCTTCAGTGTCCTGTGCAGACACCAGGCAAGTAAATGAATGAGCCTCCAGATGATGCCAGGCCCCAGTTATAAAATCATCCTTCAAAACCTCTTACATGAGGCTCCAGATACTGTGGAGCAGGAACAAGCCGCTTCCTCTCCGCTCTGTCTGAATTTCGAAGCTACAGAATCCATAAGCATATGAGATGGTTCTTTTAAACCATAACTAAGGTTTAGATTCATGTGTTATAGAGCAATTGTAAGTGGAACCACTCCAAACTGAAATTTAAAAAAAAAGAGGAAAGAAATCCCATGCATTGTATATGTCCTGGCTCCCACTTTCCTTCTAGCCTTATGTCCAACATAAGGCTGTGGACTCATCCCAGTCCTTTGGCAATTCCTTTGCTTTCCAACCTTATTTCCCTTCTTTATACTGATGTTGCTTGTCGAAAGCTCTTTCTTATTTTCTTCACTCAGTTTATGTACTCTTCACATGCTGCATTATCATTTAATCCTTCAGTCCCTCCAGCTACATGGTATATACTTCTTCTGAATTCGGATAGAATGTTTTAACCTCACATTCACCAAACATACTTGTTCTTGTTTGTGTGCACATTGAATTTTTCCTAAGAGAGAACTCACATGTGATTTTTTTTTTAAAGATTTTATTTATTTTTTAGAGAGCGAGCGAGAGAGAAACAGCATGAGAGGGGAGAGGGTCAGAGGGAGAAGCAGACTCCCCGCTGAGCCGGGAGCCCGATGTGGGACTCGATCCCAGGACCCTGGGATCATGACCTGAGCCGAAGGCAGACGCTTAACCATCTGAGCCACCCAGGCGCCCTCACATGTGATTTAATACCTCCCCTACAATAAGTAATTCTTGGTGGTGTTCAGTGCTTTGCTAATAACCTAGCATTGCTCTGAATTAGAGTTGTGGCGTGAAGGAGTTGTAGCCTTGAAAAGTTTTAGTAGCTACAATATACATGGAAGTCAAACTTTTCCCTTCAACCATTACCATGTTACTTCCTTTGTCCATTTATATCTCCTTGTATATCCTTGACTCTTCTCTGAACAAATATTTATTTTAGAATCATCTATTAACTAGTTTGTTAGCCATTATTGACCTCAACTCCATTTTATCCTTAAGTTGCTATTTTCTCAAAAATTCTCTAGCCTGGAACTATAGCTGATTTTACTACCTACACCACCTGACATCAATGAGATACAATTGTCATCAACTTTTCACATAATGAAAACTCTATAAAACAGGTCCACATAGGCCCCAACGAACTATATTCTCTGAGGTACATATTATGCTTTAAACTCTGAATTTTACTTTATTTTAGATGCCATTTATTCCTTTTCTTTCAAAAGTATTGAAAGGAACAAGAGATTATTTTAATTTTTTAAAATTACCTATATTGTAGTTACTGTAGGTTTTTCTCCCTTACCTACGTGACATACGTTTGGCTTTAGGAAGAAAGGATAAAAGAAAAGGAAATTTGCATTTACTGTATGTGCCAGACACTGCTGAGCAAAATCATATTACTTAATTTATTTGTTTACTGCATTCTTTTAAAGTAAATTTCCTTCAATTGAAAGGAAAAAGATTCTTAGATATTATCAGATATTTCTGTGTCTAACCTAAATACATAAAATACTATTCAAACAGCTGAATCAGTCTATGTGTACTACAGTAAATATATATATTTGATAACCCAGTAATTACTGAGAGATAGACAACCCTAAGAAAGAAGTCATATAATGAGTGTGGGATTAGGTCCTTAACAAGAGTCCTTGATATTTGCAGACATCCTGCAGCTCTCTGAATTCCCATCATGTTTTAATCATAATTGCTTCCCTACCACCCATCTGGGCTGCTATCCACAGAGGCTTATGACATCCAGGGAAGAATAAATAGGGAGACAAGTGAATTCTTTGGAAGCTCCAGTTCTGCCTTAGTGCAGATTTCTCCCTAATAAAATAATGGAGTGAAGCATTTAAAGATTCAACTGAAGCAAGTATCTTTAAATAGATTATTTTCCACAAGGAATCAGTGGGTGCTAATGTTCCCTTGTTGGCTATAAAATCACTGGGGGAGAAATAACAATTATGGCAATCACAGCGTAGTTTAACCCTATGAACTTAGATACAAAGAAAAAAAATGAAAAAAAAAAAAAACACTTTTAAAAGACCATCTTTAAAGGCAACACAATTAGGATGGTCATTCACAGGAGGTTTCCAGCTACTTCACTCTCTCTCCAGAAGAGGCTCCTAGCATCTATGGATACCCTTGAAGGCATAACAATATGTGTTTCTGTTCATGGATTTTAGGGATTGAATATGTTATTAATCAAAAGAGTCGCTGTAGTTTTATTGCTTCTAGAATCTCCTGAGGCATTGTATACAGCTGCATTCAAAGAAAATGAACTGTTATAAACTTGATCATATTCACCCCTTGGGCTCATCTGATTACAAAATTGCCCAATGAGCTGTTACAGTATTTTCAACTAATTAGTTAACCCATACATTGGGATTTCTTTCCTTTCTTAGTTTTTTTCTTGCTTGCTTTTTCTATATTTCTTTCTTGTTTTTCTCCCCCCCCCCCCCGTTATTGTACCTATTTACCCTTTCTGTAACAGGGTGAATATCTCAGTGTTTGTTGTGCTGCCAAAACCCTCAAATCACATCACTAAAGTATACCTTTTCTCCTATCACTTTTCCTGTGAGGAAAACAAATGGTGCACTTTTTTTTTTTTTTTTTTTTTTTTGCCATGTTATTGCTTTTAAATCAGAGAGCAGCACTATTCAATTCAGGAACTCAGAAGCTACATTTGACTCTCAGATCATACAATTTCCTAAATCAGCCGCTGAAGATTCAAGGGTCTTTCTGAAATAGTTATACTGAAGAGAAGAAACAAGAGAGACATTTTTAGTAAAAGAGATTGTCATAGAGAGGAAAAAGCAAATTCTTCACAAGGTATATTTCTGTCTTGTTGCAAATTTCTCCATAAAATCTGAGTGACTCATTAAAAAAAATAAAAAGAGGAAAAAAAAAAAAAAAGTCTTTCCAGGCGACCCAGAGAGAAGTCCATACAGTATTGTTCTGGGTTCCCTGTTGTAACTTAAAGGGAAACTTTCACAATATCCAGAGCCCTTGACGTCCTTCAAACAAAGGAAGAGGATGTCCTCAAATTTTTGTAGCAGGATCCCATTTGGGTGGCACCAGCCTTGACTTCCAAACGGAACACTACATCTACAGAAGGAAAAGTGGTGGCATCTACAGCATTAATTAAAGAGAACCTGGGAGAAGCTGCCACTAGCAGCTTGTGCCATTGTTAGCTGAAAACTCAGCTGGTGTCTGTGTATAACATCCTCCAGGAATACCGGCCAGGGAGTTACGCTGACGTTTTCTGCCCCTGGAGCCCCTGGAGCCCCTGGAGCCACTCCCATTGCTGGCTGCTTCACTTCCCCGCGCCTTCGCTAATCAGATCCAGGCAGCCTTGCGAGAGCCGAGACTTCCGACGGTTACCGAGTCCAGGGCTGACCACCAGCCTCTCACAGAGGAGTCTTATGTTAACTGCCTACCATTGCTCTATGTGACACAGACCCTCCTCTGTGCCATGTGGACAGTACCATCTCATGCAGCAACAAAGGCGTTCACTCGGCGAATCTGACCGCGGGACGCGGGCCCCGGCAAGTTCTGCGCATGCGCGGCACCACCTTCCATGAGAAGCCACGGGAGGTCATGCCTGGTGTCTACTGCAGAGTTAATGGAAGAAGCGAAAAAGAAGAGCACCTCTGCTGAAAAGGCTGTGACCAAGGGGAATTTGACGGTGAATGGACCACTCCAGCTCCTGAGTTTTCTGCTACTGAATTTGCGGTTGCCTGCTGTGTGTAAAGGAGCTCAGGTGTCCTCCCTGCCTCTTCAGCAAGTTCCCTGAGCAAGAGCGGAGCACGCAACCCGCCCTCGAAGACGGGTCTGTAGCTCCCACAGTTCAGGCCACTGAATGGGTAAGAGCAACCACTGGGTGGTCTTAAACTGTTTCTCCATGGACTCTAGAACAGAAAATGGAAATAAGGGTGATGAAAAATAAGCAGTATCTTTTTTTTTTTTAAGATTTATTTATTTATTTATTAGAGAGAGAGCATGAGAGGGGGGAGGGTCAGAGGGAGAAGCAGGCTCCCCGCCGAGCAAGGAGCCCGATGCGGGACTCGATCCGGGACTCCAGGATCATGACCTGAGCCGAAGGCAGTCGCTTAACCAACTGAGCCACCCAGGCGCCCAATAAGCAGTATCTTTAAAGAAAAAAAAAGGGATTCAACAAAAGCAAGTGTTATGGACAAAATGTATCCCCCTCAATATGAAGCAGAATGTGCCCCACTTCATATGTTGAAACCCTGTGTCTCTGATGTGACTGTATTTGGAGACAGTGCCTGTAGGGAGGTAATTAAGGTTAAATGAAGTCATAAGGGTGGAGCCCTGGTCCCATAGGACTGATATCCTTATAAGAAGACTGAAGAGACACCAGAATTCACATTCCCTTCCCACAAGAGCAAAGAGAAGAGGCCATCTGTAAGCCAAGAGGAGAACCCTCACCAGAAACCAGCCCTGAGGACATTTGATCTTGGACTTTGACCTCCAGAACTGTGAGAAAATTAATTTCTGTTGTTGAAGTCATCTAGTATGTGGTATTTTGTTATGTCAGCCCCAGCAGAGCAATATAGCAATGGGGGGTGAGGGATAAAAGAAAATATATACAGCTAACCCTTGAACAACATATATTTGAACTGCATACATAGGTCCAGTTATATAGATTTTTTTTTATAAATACAGTACAGCATTGTAAATGTACTTTCTCTTCCTTATGATTTTCTTAATGATATTTTCTTTTTTATGTGTCATAACATAATTGTATTTATCCATAAATACATACATGTATTTATCCATGCATAAATTGTATTTATCCACAACTGAAAACAAAACCAAACCGAGGAAAGAGGGAATGGCAGGAAGAGGGATTGGAGACAGCTAGTGGTGAAGACTCTTTCCACCAGTTTTTTGAGTTTTCCTACAAAGGGGCAGTATGTGGCAGAGAAGATGGGGACAAGAGAAGGGGTTTTGTTTTGTTTTGTTTTATTTTTGGTTGTGAGAGAAATATTAAGAAATATTCTTAATGACATTTTCTTTTCTCTAGTCTACTTTATTGTAAGACTACAGCATATAATACACATACAAAATATGTGTTAATTGACTGTTTATGTTATCAGTAAGACTTCTGGTCAGCAGTGGGCTATTAGTAGTTAAGGATTTTGGGGAATCAAAAGTTATATCGGATTTTCAAAGGCACCGTGTGGGTGCCGTGCTGGTGTCCCTAACCCCTGTGTTGTTCAAGGGTTCGCTGTAGTTTCAAAATAAGTAAATAAAAGTGAAGTAAGAGCCAACAAGTCTTGTAAAAGTTATATTCTTTCCAGGATAATAATAACAGAGTGCTACATATTACTGTCTGTTTTAAGCAAATCTGCAGTAAAACCAAAGGGTTGTGCTATTTACGCGTTATAGAATTTTTCAGAACCCTATAAAATTCTCAGTTGTCTTGTAATTGCCTACAAATGACATCATCCTTTTTTCTTTAGCATGCTTTGATTGAGATAGTGCAATCAACAGTGTGAGAATGGCATAAAAGCTCACAGTACATTACGAGGCTATTACTGGTTTGGAGAAAGCTTGGTGTCCAGGAGGTCATAAGCCCCCCAGGGATGACAGATAGATGGTCACTTCATGATGTCATGTGGAATACCACTATCTTCAATGTCTTATCAGATGCTCAAGTGGATTTTTATAGAGTTAAAAACATTACAATAAAATGGTGAGTGTGAGAGTTACAGAGGTGTGGGAAAGTTAATAATATGATTGCTAGAATCTGATTTAATAATTTGCAATTCCAATAGGGTAAATTTGACTTTATGGAAAAATGTCTTCTATATAAAGGAGTTTAGATATCAAATAGCTAAAATTATGGAAATTATGTTTGCCAAGTTCCCAAATGGTGATTATTATTGGCACAATTCAGAGGGTACCTTGGCATTCTAGTTATATATGTGTAACCCAAGTGTTCCCGAGCCCCCTTGTATTTTCCTGGACTAGACATAAATCTCATTTCATGAGAGATGCAACCCCATCACAATGTTACAGAAGAATCCTTAAGAGAGAGCTGTTTGCTTTTCACCCCTCCTCTACTCCTTTGGATTCTCAGTGTTCTTTCACCACCTCATTTTCATCAGCAGTTCTTCTCTTTGCATGTGGCTTCAGCTGCTGCCATAAATGGGCAGAGGCCAGTTCTTCTATACTCATCAAAGTCACTGTAACATGAAACTTTTGTACAAGAACTAGATTTTGTATTGACAATCTGGAAGTAACAGAGGGAAAATATAACCAAGAAAAGAGGAAAAAACATACCAACTGATGTTTTTTGTTGGCTACTCTTGTATCAGGGAGTTTTCAATGGCCTACCGCAAGTGCTGGGGTGCTTTTTGCAAGTCCTCCCTTCTTCCATTCTCTTTCTAAGTCTCCCAGTGTTTTACACTTGCAGCGAGAAGACAACTCTGTAATGCCAATTATTTTGTTATACAAAGCAATTTAGCTCTCACTTTGCTTTATGTTCTTTCATCAGACCAGCTCTGAAACATATTTTTAAAATTATTATTCAGTACAATTACTTTCTTGTGTACTGTGTTATGATTTTTAATGTACACAATTTGTTTTATGTATATTATATATTTTAATATAAATAATAGTAATATAAAATATTATTATATTTTAATATAAATAATATATACTATTACATGTAATATGTATATAATATAAAGTTTGTGTGACCACTACCATGATCAGGGTACAGAACAGTTCTGTCAGCCTTTTATAGACATACCCTCCCCCATTCCTAAGCCTCAGCAATTGTTGATCTGTTCTCCATCACTACAGCTTTTTGAGAATGTCATGTGAATGGAATCATAGATTATGTAACATTTTGAGGCTATTTGCTTTTACTCAGCACAATGTCTTGAAATTCATTCGTTGTTGCCTCATCAATAGTCCAAGCCTTTTTATTGGTGAGTAATGTTTCACTGTATGTATTTACCATAGTTCATTCATCACTTTATGTGCTGAAGAACATTTGAGTCCAGTTGTTTCCAGTTTAGGTGGTTATGAACAGAGCTGTTATAACATGTTGTGTAGAGGTTTTTGTGTGCATATAGGTTTTTATTTCTCTAAGTTAAGTACCCAGTAGTGGGACTGGTGGGTCATATGGTAAGTGAATGTTTAACTTAAGACAAAAAACAAAAGCCTGCCAAAGTGTTTTCCAAAGTGGCTGAAATATTTTTGCATTCCTACTAGCAATGTCTGAAAGTTTTAGTTGTCTGAATCTGGTAGATGCTTGGTATTGTCAGAATATTTTTAGCCATTCTAATAGGTATGTAGTGGAATCTCTTCATGGTTTAAATTTGTATTTCCCTAAGCGCTAATGATATTGAACATTTTTTTCATGTGGTTTTTAGCCGTCCTTATACCTCTTTGGTGAAGTATCTGTTCAAATCTTCTGTTCATTTTAAAATTAGGTTGTTTGTTTTTATAATAAGTTTTAAGCATTCTTTATATGTTAAAATTTGTCCCATTTACAGTATTTTCTGAAGATTAATCTCCAAATGACAGTGGTTCTGATATTTTCTCCCATTGTTACTTTTTTTTTTTTAAATTCCAGACTCAACAGAAATATCCTTCCTCCTTGCCAAGCCTAAAACCTGCAGCCATGTTCTTTATCCTTTTACTTGCTCTACCTCTCATGTTCCTTCAATTATGTCTTTTCATTTTGGAGTTTTCAATATCTTTTTGCATGATCCATTTCTTTTTCTTTAATGGTAAAGTCTTTATATCTAATTGAAAAAATAAACTAATTTATGACTCTTCTCTAAATTACTACCTCCTGCTTCCCCTCACTGCTATGCTTGTTGAAAAATGTTCTATATTTGCTATTTTCTTCTGCCAAATTTATGCAACCCAGACTCTGCTTTCATTATCATTCTGAAAATGGTCTTAGAACCATCACCAATGATCAGCACTTTTGTCTACTGGTGGCCTCTTTCTGTTTATTTACCTCTGTGCAACACATGACATTTTTGTCCACCGCTTCTCTCTAGATAAAGAAAATATCACAAAGCAATCAATCATTGTAGTCACAGAGAAAGGGTAAAGTAAATAAATATTTTTGGAAGCAGAATCTTTTTTACACTTTCAGGGAAAAAAAAGAATTTTTATAGGAAAATCCGGATAGATAAAGGATGCAGAAATGCTCAGAATTTAGCATATGCATACAATTTAACTGAGCATACTTATATGTGAAAGATATTTGTATTCATAGCATCTTCCTTCATTTTAACTCACTTGTTCTACCATATTGAAGTACGTGAATTTGATTTACTAATGTAATCTTTCATTGTTCTATTTTTGTGATTTGTAAAATGGAGATTTAAAACAGTAGCTAACCCAAAGTTTTGTAAATATTATGTGAGATGATGAATGGATTTAGCAGAGTACCTGAAATATGGAAAGCAGTTAATAGGTAAGCTAATTATTTTTTTTTTCTTTTCCCATATTTCTCTAATTCAATTCAAAATGAATTTTAAAAACAAAACAATTCATTCAGTTTGAGTTATCATTTAGAATTAACACTGGCAACCTATAAAATAAATTTTTAGAGTTTTGAACACTTTTTTTTTTGTCTTTTGATTGTGAATGTTTGGACATAGAGCAGATGATGGATATATGCCTTTTACTTAATCTGGGTGAGTAATTTCTGTGTCTCTGCAGAGAACCTCTACACAAGCCATATTTGTAGAGTTTAATCAAGTCAATGGAAATTCTATCCTATGAGTCCACTTGTACTGATAGAGAATCATGAAGTAGTTCAAACATGACTTTATGAGTGCTAGTTAACAGAAGGATAATACAAAATGCTTCTGTTTGTTTATTTTTCTTAAAAATCAGTTATTTGTAACAAATTATTTCATAAGTTTGTACATATAGTTCAGTTCCCAAGATTTCTCTAATGCCTTTTTTCCATTAGTTCTACAGAACACTGCATTAATGTCTTAGGGTATTGTTCATTTATTCTCTATAAGACAATATACACTAAAAGACTTTCTTTTTTCTGTTTTCTTCCATAGACACTCTCGCCTAATAATTCGGTTAAGAGTCTCTTGTATAAACCATGTTGTCTTTGTTTATTTTTATTGTTGAGTATCCATCTATGCTCTTATAATTCCAGTTTTGCAAAGAAGCAAGGGCTATTAATCAAATTTAACTAAAATGGCTCTTCTTTGGACCATCTTTCTCGGCAATAGCAAAGAAGTAAATCATGTAGAAGGAATCCATTAGAATCATTATACTTAGGAAACAACATGTTTATGGCTAATTATAATAATGTCTCTTGGTAATATCTTGATGTTATACTTGAACACACAGTAGAAAATTGCTCAATGTTCCTATTTATCTTTATCCACTAAAGATAGAACAGTTATTTCAAACCAACTTTTGTGTGCATGTGTGGTATGTATGTGTGTCAGGGAGGTGGGGGGGTTGTAATCTACTTCCTAAAATATTAAACATTATCTAGCATATATTTATTTTAAAATTGTTTTTAATTAGTTTGGCTTGTTTTTCAAAGTTGTATAAGAATCCTTATGATGTAGGGTGTCACCTCTAAGTGATGTCAGAATTTTCAATTTTTAATTTAATTATTTTTAATGTTGGCTTCAACATTTGCACAGTGGAATATAATTTGTTATTTGAATGCAAATTCATTTGTTATTTAGTTAGTTTTATGCATGCTTCTTATAAAACATTTAAACAATACAAAGTAGGTGAAGCCAATGGTTTTCATCATCAAATCTATTAGAGATAACAGAATATGTCTTTATCTATGTCCACACATTAAAGTTGATGAACTGCAATATGATTTTGTTTCTTACAATTTACCAACTCCCCTAAAGAAAGGAAACTCAATTGGGTAGCATTAATTTGACTGGGCGAGCTCACTCTCTCCCTTAGAGAGGGGAAATCGCAGGTCAAACTTCCTTCAACCCTCCACCTTTTCTTTCTCAAAATTTAATGTGTATACTAATCACCAAATATCTTAGTCTATTTGGACAACTATAATAAAAATGCTATGGACTGGATGACTTAACATGTTTATTTCTTACAATTCTGGAGGCTAGGAAGTACAAAATCAAGGCACTGATAATAACCCACTTCCTGTCTCATTGACCTCCGACTTTGGCTTATTTCCTCACGTGGCCAGAGAGCTCTCTGGGTTCTCTTCTAATAACATTTGTCCCATTCATGAGGGCTCCACGCTCATGACATAAACACCTCCAAAAGGCCCTTCCTCCTAATACCATAACATTAGGGGTTAGAATTTCAACATACAAATTTTGGGAGGACACAGCACTCAGTCCATAATACCTAGGGAATCTTGTTAAATGGCAGATTATGATTCAGTATATTTGGGGTGGAGCCTAAAATTCTGCATTTTCAGCAGGCTCCTTGATAATACTCCTACTTCTAGTCCTAGAAGCACATTGCACAGCAAAACAGTCTATACCTTTTCCCCTCCTTTCTCTAGATTGGGTAATGGTAAAAAAAAAAATGATTAAAGAAGATAATTTAGGTTATACAAACTTTATTTAACACTTCATAAAGTCTCCATTTGGAGAACTGCAGATGGGGCAGTAGGCAGAAATCTTTTGTAGGATAAAAAATAAAGAACAAGGAAGGGGACAAAAATAGAAAACTATCTAATTGGCTGGGGCC